TACTGTATAATCATTGCAACCTTAAAATAATTCCTTTATTAAAGTTAAAGGCCTTGAATACCTTAAAGAAATACTCATCACCTTTTGCTTGCTGTGCCAGACAGATAATCTGATGTGGAGAAATTACAACATTAGAGCCATTTTGAACAAAACTTTATTGTGGGCAAACTGGTGCAATCTGTTTGGGCTTGAAGTATGTGTTGAGAATATCTCTCATCTACTACCACACCAAATATCAGCCTAATATCTGTAAAACCGATTACTTCTAGTGCAGACTAAGTTAGATCAGCTGTATCCTAAAACGGGTCACTCCAATAATCAGTTACACTCGGTGTTTACTTTGTGAGAGTTTCTTTGAAAGCTGTTCAGTTATTCATGATGTTTTGCTAACAGACAAACCAGCATCTAGCACACATGCACACGTACACACGGACAGGTAAAAACACCATCACTCTGTCTTCGCCTTTAGTGCTATAAAAGCACCAGGCATGCAGAACAAAACAGCTTTTTCCACCTGGATTTATTCTTATTTAAACAAACGGGCCTGAGGCTCAGTTGGTAGAGCTGCCACCTCTCAGCAAGAAGGCTGCAGGTTCAAATCCTTTCTGGGTGGAGTTTGCATGTTCTTTCCGTGCATGTGTGGGTTTTCTCCCAGTACTCCAGTTTCCTCCCACAGACCAAAAACATACCTGTTAGACTGATTGGTGACTCTAAATTGGTGTGAGTGAGTGAGTGAATGGTTGTTTGTCTCTATGTGTCCCTGTGATGGACTTGAGACCTGTCCAGGGCGTCCCCCCGCCTCTCACACAGTGATTTTTATTTAAATTTTATTTAAACCTTTATTTTACCAAGAAAAAATCCATTGAGATTATTAATCTCCTTTACAAGAACGTCCTGGGCAGTATGCAAATACAACAACACAGTCTTAAGAACCGTAAGAGTAATATTAAAATATTTACAACAAAACATCCGTTAATAAAACATAAAATAAAATGCAAGTAAAAAAAAAAAAACACAATTTAAAGCACTTAAACATCACAGGTGCAAGATGTGGTTAAAACCGTTGACAGTTTATGTTTAAAACTAGATAAAGGAATAAAAGACTCGTATAGAAAGATGGATATGTGCACCAGTGACCCCGTGACCCGAAAAGGAAGAAGCAGGTAAAGATAATGGATGGATGGACCTGGTAACAATATTTTGCAAAACTCAAACCAGATTTGGTTATTATCATCCTAAATCACCTAAAAACAAGTCAAAGTTTTTCTGGACGAACAATTCCCATGAAGCAACATTTTGCTTAGACAAACGTTTTATTACGCAGCCTCTTTATCATCAAATAGGATGAAGTGGTTTCTATATGTACTGAAAAATGCAATGCAAAGATTATTTAAACAAGAAAAAACAAGATTATTCAAAATATGTAGATTTTGTTGCTCGGGTAAACATAATGTGAAAATGTCTTACTTTTGTGTAGAATTTGTCACGTTCACACTGAACATATCGGCTTTCTCTTCTTGGGACTATCTTTTGTTTCCTCCAAAGGCGACCGTGAACTTGTGAGATTTCTTAATATCTATAAACACATATTTTTACTGGCTCATAAAGGCCTGAAGTCCTGTTGATAACGTGCGTTGTCACTGTTAAACAAAGATAAACAGAGATAAAGAAGCCTAAAATTTGAAATGTTGCAAATAGAACCTCTAAAAACTCAAGTTTTTTTTGAATTTCTTCTTCAGCAAATTGATTTTTCATGTAATTGCACAGAAAGACACTGCGTCAGTTGTAATCTGCTGATCAAATGATCTTAAATCAATATTTGTTCCTCTATGGACCTACAGCTTTTCAGACGTCTTTAGGAGATTCTGAAGGAGAATTGCAACCTGCTTCCATTTCTTGCTAATTCTTTCAGCATTTAAAAACCGTGTACTTTAAATCCCTGGGACGACTTTTTTTAATCAAGGAGCTAAAATCACAGCTCTCTGCAGCTTTATATAAGATTATGCAAATGAGTGGACTGACTTTTGGAAGAACGACTCTTGTTGCTGCTGCAGGTCTGTCTGAAGGGCAGAGATGATCCACTGAACACGGAGAAGGAAGAAACACGTTAAATGGAGTCGCACACGTTTGTGCTCCAGAATATATTAATTTAAAAAATTGTTTTATTTCTCTTTTCATCCACCTCTGTATGTTTACTGTGTGTGGAGAGTTTATAAATGACCCCTGACTGATCGATTAATTTGTCTCTTTGTTGAGATATTTGATCTAAATCATTTGGTTAACTGATAATTAGTTATTATTAAAGTTTATTAGAGATGTATTAAACCCTTTTTAACTCTTCTGCCTTTAATGACTTTAATTTTCTTTCACGTTTTGCTGAAGTTTATTTTTTTTTGAGTGTTCATGAGTCAAAACTGTATCTGAACTCGGGGGAAGCTGCAAATATAAGGACTCCTTTTAAAAATGTATAAATATATATATATATATATATATATATATATATATATATATATATATAT